AATATACAAGTCACAGTTTTCAGGGTCACCGTTTTGGAGGCACAGCTTTCAACAACAAACGTTAATCGGCCACAGTTTGGCAATCACTGTCTGATGTGTGTACATATGTGTGTCTGTCACAACGTTAGAGTTGGAGTCAAGCCCATTAACTAGCCCACAACTCGCTTTAGACCTATATGTATATATTTTCTCGACTTTAGAGTCACAGTTTGAGAGGCACAGCTCTTATGTCATTATTGAGGTTTCATTGTTCTAGAGGCCTAGATCTTCTGTCTTAATTAAAGTGTCACCGTTTTAAAATCACAGTTCTTATGTCTACATTGAAATGTCACAGTTTGAAAGGCACAATTATTCCGTCTTTACAGAAGCCTCACAGTTTCAGAAATATGGTTCTTCTGTCTTTCTTGAAGCGTCACAGCTTTAGAGGTACAATTATTCCGTCTTTACTAAAGCTACACGGTTTTGTTGTGACAGCTCTTGTTATGACTGCCACGCCCACTTGTGCCACTTTTTCCATCTATTCCACTGTGAATAGGGCATCGCGCAGTCGAGAGGATTGCGATTGCAATAATCTATCCTGTTACTTTCAGGTTTCTTGCAGTCGCCGTCTCAGCGGTTGGGCAGCAGAGCCTGTCACGGCTGGCCTATTACCTACACCCCCCCCCCCACCCCCCCCCCGTCACCTGCCTCACCGTCCGTGTGCCACGCCCACCACGCCTCAGCTGTTACCCTTTGTGCAATGTTTTCTGGAGGCCAAGACGAGCGGCTTTCGAAATAAGAGAAATCATTTGCGTTTTTGCGGCACCAAAACTTCCACTTGCTAATCCCCCACGCACCACCCCCGCCCGCCCCCCCCCCTTCACCCTTCACCCTTCTCCCTTCCGGCTGCTGCTGCTGCTGATGCGTTTCGCATGCTGATCCTTGCGCCGTCGTCATGTTGACTTTTCCATTTGCCTTGGCAATTTTCTTGCACTGAGCTTTTTTCTTTGAACCCAGCCGCAGCCGAGCTCCTCGGCGTATCCTGCGGGCTTTGTTTATCCTTCTATTTGTATAAGCTGCATTCGTGTGTGTGTGTGTGTGTGTGTGTGTGTGCACGTGTATTCGTGGTGTTTGCTTACATGTGTAAATTACTTTTCAATCTTGTGATTACTTTTTTTCGCATTTAATTATTTTAATTACGGCCCAGCGCACAGCCAAACGTTGTGAATCGCGAGTTCAGACTTTGCCAACCAGCCACGAATCGGTTCACCTAGCAACTAGTTCAAAAGAACCAGAACCGTTTTTAATTGCAACTATCCCGAAAGCAAATAAAAGAACGCACCAAGTGCTCGCTGAAATGAGTTTTCAGCGTGACCTAGTCAGACAGACGGATTCGAAGCCCGAGGGCTTCGGTTGGGTTCAGGGCTCTGACAGGGTCTTCTATCTTAAATCGTATTAACTAATTTGACTGACAGTTAGCTTCGATTTGTAGTGCAAGCAATAATTATCTTTCTTCTATGGAACTTTTAAATGGTATTCAAAGCCTTTTGGACAAAAGCTTAACCTTTTTTATACTCTGAACCTATTGAGATTAGAACGTGAATGTTATGAATGTATGTGAAATGTTAATTGAAACAAACATGCAAAAATCCACTTTGATAGCTGCAAATAGACCAGATGAAGACTGCTTAACGAGCGGAATATGGGTGGAATTGAGGCTTAAAATTAAAAGATTAAAACTTGGCCGGGTCAAGACCTGGCTTTAAATCACTTTGTAAGCAAGCCAAGTTTACAAATTAACAAACAAAGGGGTTTTTTAAATTGTAATGCCCTACTATGCGATTCTCATTAATTTAAATAAGATTAACAGGTATTCATGCTCTCACTTTCTCTCACAAGCCAATCTAGGTTTGTTTTAATTGTGGCTTTTATGCGGCATTTTGGATATCTTACTGGGATATGGAAATTTGATAGTCCAAGTAAATTTGTTAGTTTGTAAGTTGAAAACATTGTTATAAAGGTTTGGTACATTATGCCAAACTTAACTTCTGGTGAATTACTTGGCACTTCAGCTAATTAATCCATGATTACCTTATATATATATTGCTTAATATAATCTTGCTATGTTAATATCAGCTACCCATTACAAAATAATATTATTTTCGTTTATGTTTTTATACATTATTTGTGGACAATTTTAATGAGCTAAGTAGAACTGAAGTATTATCCGACATCAGTATAGAGAATGTAGTCGGCATTCGTCTAAGATATTTCTGCATACATATATAGGCAAGCACGGGATTTGAATCTGCGTCCTTTATATTTATGCTTGAACTTAGATAACTCAGCTAAGGAGGACTTTTGGAATACTATAGTCATATAAAGTTGGGTTCAATATAGCTTAATAGGCATGAGCAAGCCTGAGATTCGAACCCGCAACCCCGGCCTTTAAGCTAGCTAATTCACACAACTTTCAAGAAGAGTACTTTTTGTATATGCTTAGATAAAACAGTTCTGATATAGTTTATGTTCCTAGAAGGAATATCAGCTATACATAATTAACATTTATAATGTTAACTTTAACTACAAGTTAAGCTTTAGCTTAGCGCTAAAATAATTCTGTGTAATATTGAGATTTGCGACTTAAATTCGAGCTCTTAAGTATATTGGGCCGCGATTAAAACTTTGCTTTTAAAACTAAAATTTCTCTTAGCTTGAACTTGAAACTTTTGATTAGCTTGCACGAAAAGCGCTTAAAATAAAATCAATTAAAAAAAATCTTAAGTTAAAAAGTTATTAATAATTTCTTCAAGTTTTGCTTCAAGCTTTTTTGAAAACCCACACAACTGGAAATCGAATAGATTAACTACACCGAAAACTTGAAAAAATAACAATCTATTTATAACAATATTTCAAAGGCTACACGAATATGTCTCAAGGTTATTTAAAATTTAATGAAATTGAAATTTCTTCAAGTTTTGTCGTCAAACTTTTATGGAGCAAATGTGAACTGCGAGAAAGTTAAAACCAAAATCGATAAACTACGCACATTGCCTTAAAAAAGAACCATTAAAACAATATACATATATATATATATATATATATATATATATATATTTTTTGTTGTGGTCTTTGCTAAAATGTCTAGAAAGTTTGTTCGAAACACTTGCAAATTATGCCGCGAACTATGGAAAATTGGTTAGCAAAACTTTGAGCGAACTTTCGAAAAAAAACATATACATATATATATATATAACTAGTTCATTTGAACTTAGTCAAAAGTACCGAACTGCGAACTAGTTCAGGAGAACCAGATATAAAAAAAAAAAACAACAAACATGCTGTTGGAATGCGTAACAACAAAACGATCGTGGCAAGCTGTTGTTGCACTTTGCGCCGCGGCTGCCGCTGAGTCAGAAGGCAGCCGCCAAATCACATAGCTGCGTCACTAATGAGACGCCAGCAGCGGCGGCAACAGCAGCTGAGCAGCTGAGCAGCTGATAAGGAGCGCCGCCAGTTTGGCTTGAATCTGAATCGGAATCGGAATTTGAATTCGAATTTGAGTGAGTGATCGAGAAATCTGCAAATCTGCCTGCCAATCCAGCTGCGGAGCTGCCGACGCTGCGGACTGCGCATCGCACGCGTCTGCGGGCTGCGCCCGACAACGGGATGAACTCATTTGTGGGCAGCAGCAGCAGCGACGGCAACAGCAGCAGTAGCAGTCGCAGCGGCAGCAGCAGCAGAGGCAGCGACAGCGGCCGAGCAAAAGCAGTCGCTGACGCTGCTGGAATTTACAATTAGCGTGCGAGAGATAAAAGGCAAATCAGCGCTGAGGGCGGCTGCAGGAATGCGCTGCCAGTTGTGCTGCCTCTTTTTCGGATAACACTAACCAGCACACACACACGCACACAGGCGCTCACGCAGAGCGCTGCCGACGCCAGCGACGTCAGATGTACTGCGCCGGCGCTGTGCTTAGCACACGAGCGCGTATAACAGTCGCGCCAAACTGTGCTAAACGCCCAACTGGGGAAGACAGCGCCCGTGGCGAAGTAAAAAGCCGAACTCGAAACGAAGCCGTGCGATGTCGCTGCCGTCGTGTTTACTCCGAAAAATATCTGCCACATAGTTGGCCCTGTTGTGTGTGTGTGTGCGTCGACGTCGACGCTGACGCCGGCTGCGACAGCAAATTTTTGGCTGCAATTTTCATTGCGTTCGAAAGTTCGACAACTTTGGAAAACTGTCAGTTAGCAGCGAACTTAGTACAGGTAGAGACGCACGTTTTCGGGCTTCCTCCTGAGCAGCAAGAAGAAGCAGCAGTAGGCAGTTGGCTGTAGTTAAAGCAGAAGAGGAAGCAGCAGCAGCAGCAGCAGCAGCAGTAAAAGCAACAACAACTACGCGACATTACGAAGTTCTGCGTGTCGTCGTGCGTCGTTTGCCGAGTGACGAGCTGCCGTCCCCGCCCGCCACCGCCACCGCCCTCGCCATCGCCCTCGCCATCGATGCGTTCGCTTGTGACGCTGCGTCGACGCCGACTGCGGCGCTAACGTGTGTGTGACGGGCCGCTGCCGATGTTAAATTTTATTACCCCAAACGCATCCAGCAGTCGGTTTTTGGACGTCCGGACTTCACGCCGCCAAAAGAAATCGCCGCTCGCCAGTTTATTGCAATTCACGCGCAACAACAACAACAACAACAAAACTAACAATAACAATAACAACGACTACGAAAGAGTATTAAAAACAACAACAGAAAACTTTGCGCGCGGCAACAAAAGTTAAAAACAAACTTTTGCCAAACTACGCGGCCAACTAAATAAAGTTACCCAACCCCCTCCCGTGCACCAGCACGCCCGGACCCCCACACACGGACGCGCCGCTGTCCGGCGTGCATTTGCCAAAAAGTCAAAGAATAACAGCACAAGAAACACAAAACAAAACAAAAAATCAAATAAAATATAAGAAAAAGAAAAAAACAAAGTTTAAAGCGACGTCGCTGCTGCCGTTGCCGCCGTTGCCGCCGCCGTCGACGTCGGCCCCAAAAACAAATTCAAAGTCGAGCAAAGTGCGCGCGTTAATTGATATTGCGTATACGCCACGGCTGCCGCAAAAGTTTTTTGTCGCCTGGCCAGCTAAACTTTCAGAACGCTGCAACCCAAAAACTACATAAATAAATAAATAAATCAAGTTAGATCGTATAGAAACAACATAAAGCACACAATTTCGCGCAGTGCAGTGCAACAACCACAACAACAACAACAACAACAACAACAAAAACGAGACGCGTTTGTTTATCTTTTTTTTACTGTTGTCTTTTTGTGCGTGCGTGTGTGTGTGTGTGTGTGTTAGTGCGTGTGCGTAAGCGTGTGCAGCATGCGTGTGTTGCATGCGGGCAAACATGCAACTGCAACAGCCAAGCAGAGGCAAGCAGCAACAACTACAGCCGCAGCAGCAGCAACAGCAGCAACAACAACAACAACAACAACAAAGCCAATCAAAATTGTGACCTGCTAAGTGCAACAACAACAACACACAATAAATAAACCCAACCAAAGACTAACAACCAAAAGTGTTAATAAAAACAAAACAACAAATCGCAACAAATCGCAAAATACTAAAATAATACCGAAAGCATACCAAATAAAAACCGAATCTCACAATTATCAAATAGGTAAAGTTCAATTTTCTAAATCTAAATGTAAAAAACTCTAAAAAAAACTCTAAAAAGAAAAACAAACTCTAAAAAATAATCAGAAAAAATAAGAATCATACACTGCCTAGAACTCTAGAACCAGAACTGTAAGAAACTCTTTCTTTTAACACCCACATACAATACCATAAAAAACTTGAAAAGATCAAGAGAAAGTATTCAAAAGTAAAAAAAAACTAAACATATAGAAATTCAATGCAACAAGAATAATCACATTGAAATTATTTTGACCAAGCTTTTCCATCAAATTCGTTAACAACTCTGCCAAACAATGTTAATCATAAGTTAACCAGTGTTGAAAACAATATTTTCAGTAATTTAGTTTGTTTTTTTTTTAAGAAATGATCGCTTGATCTTTCAGCTTTTGAAAGTCGAAGGCTGAAACCAAATCTAGCTTAAGCTGAGATTTTCCATTGCATACTTTTAAGGGCGCACGCATCGAATTCTTCGCAAAACTCTGTGAGCCTTAACAACACTTAAGTTAAATTCTAAACTAAACTAAACACTAAATAGTGACTAGCATAAAGAGTTGATTTATTATATTTATAAATTTCATACTTTGTTAATTATAAGTTTGCTTTTGCTATATAAAATATGCATTTTAAACAGAAAAATAAGTCAACGCGCTCAAAACTTTGACGGGGTATTTTAAAGCAGTTCTCAAGAGATGTTCCAACTTTATTTATGGTCAGGTTTCTTTTTATTTTTGGGAAACAGCAATACGTCTGAAGAAAAACAAAGCAAATTTTTTTTATTTTCACGGGCAATAGAAGTCTATACTTCATAGCAGCGCAATAAAAACTCGATGTTTTTCCAAGATTGATCTCCTTTTTCTTGCCTTAAATGCGTATATATTTATATAGCATATATATTAGAGCAAAATTGAATATATATTTATAAATAGTCCAAGCTCATGAACAACCAGATACTTGCAAAGAAAGCCAAAGATATAAGTAAGACTTTGTGCATTCTTCTTTCTAAAACTCAAATTTGCAAAGAAAAGGGAAAATAACTTAATTAAAGAACAACTTGATTAAAGAATTACTTGATTAAGGAATCACTTGGCTTAAGAATAACTTGATTAAGGAAAAACTTGACTAAAGAATAACTTGATTAAAGCGTGTTGTTTAACAATAAACTTAGAGCTGACTTAATACAAATTTGTAAACATACTTGGGGTATTTGGGGTTTCTTTTAATTTAATATTTATCTTTAAAGTATTCTCTGTTTCATAGTTAGTGTTAAAAAACGTGCGAAAACTTTTGGTACTTATATTTTCTTAATTAAATATTTAAATGAATGGAATACAAATAGAAATAGTAATCGAAATAGATATAGAAATAAGCTAAATTAATTGAGTTGTAAGAACCTGAGTCCAAAGCCGAGTTTTGACATTGTTGGGGAATTATTTCGAAAGAAAGAAAGAAATGTGATCAAAATTAATAATTAATGTGCGTGAATAGTGACTTATTTAGTATTTATTTAGTATATTTTTGACATTTTTGTAGTTCGCAAAGCAACTAAAACCAGCTGTGGGCAAAGGGGGATCCCTTTCTATCCCTTTCTTCTAAATGAATAAATTTAACTGTTTCGTTAATTTCGTTTTTTTTAAATTTTTTTTAAATTTTTCTTTGCCTTTGTTTAAATTTGTAAAGCAGTCTGTTAGGCTTGTGGGGGCCGCATGGTGTTGCAAGTGTGTGTATCTGTAACTGCATGCATATAGCCCAATAAACCAGTAATATACCTGCTCCCCACCCTGCCCCCCACCCAGCCAAGCCCTGAAACAAAAAGCATCCAACAACTAACACATAGCCGTAAGTAAAAAGAAAATATCAATTACTAACAACAAATTGCGCTAGCGTCTAAAATATACCAAAAAAAAAAAAAAATACCAAACAATTTGAGCTCACATGAAAATTTGTTGTTAAGGCATTTTGGCAACTGGCAACTGGCGAAAATGGCGCTGTCCAAGTGGCCGCTAAGCAAGGAGACGCCCTTGGTGGAGAGCAGCAGTAACAACAACAACAACAACAACAACAACAACAACAATGAGCATGAGACGGCCATTAAGCGACGCAAACGCTGCAGTCGCGATGATGAATTATCTGCCAGCAACAACAATAACAACAACAATAACACATTGCCACAAAAGAAGCGCCAGCTGGGCCTTAGCCTTAGCCTGGGAGTGGCCAAAACAGCAACAACAGCCGCCAGCGGCGATAGCCCTCCAGCCGCAGCCGCAACAGCAGCAACAGTAACAGCAGCAACACAGCCGAAATCGACAGCAACAGTTGCCGCCGTGCAGGATGCGGCCGATCAGGATGATGAGACATTAATACGTGAAACTCAGGCGGCATTAAAGAGTCTATCCGGCAGCTGGCCCGATGCGCGCACCAATTTGTATCGCTTACAGGAGCAGGAGGATGAGAATCCGCCGCCATTTCAGAATCTGTTCGAGGAGAAGCAAAAGTATGCGTGCAACAATGCCAGCAGCAATTGCGGCAGCTACAACAGCAGCAGCAACAACAACAACAATCACACACAACAAAACTCACACACACTTCTGCTACGTTTCCACAGACAAAAGGAGAACGATCAAGCGCGCCTCAACAGCAATAACAACAGCAACAACAACAACAACATCAGCAACAGCAACAACAACATCAGCAACATACACAAAAAGGATACGCTAGATGCAGCAGCCGCCGCCTACGCACAGGCAACATCCGCCTTCAAGCCGCCCATCGATATTATCAAACGCAATGGCCAATTGGCCGCCGCGGCAGCTGCCCACGCCCATGCCCAGGCCCAAGCGCACGCCCATGCCCAGGCGCAGGCCTACGCCCATGCACAGTATACGAGCAGCGCCTACAATGCGGCCGAGGCCTACTATGGCTATGCAGCAGCAGCTGCTGCCAGTCAACAGCAGCAACAGCAGCAACAGCAGCAGCAACAGCAGCAACATGGCCTGTGCCTGGAGCCGAGTCGCAGCTTTGACATTGCCACACAGCTGGGCTCGCCCACAGAGAAGGGCGTCAAGCTGCATCAGCCGCAACAGCAGCTGTCTAAGGAGGCGCCACTGCCGCTGGTCGATGCCAAACAGTATACGATATTGCAGCCGGCGGGCGTTGGCAGTCGGGCCGCATCCGTAATGCAGGATATAGCACGTGAGGGCGTTGTCGGTGTCTCGCTGGTTGCCACGCCACCAACAACAGCAACAGCAACAGCAACAGCAGCAGCAGCAGCAGCAACTTCCACGGCAGCAGCAACTGCCACTGCAGCAGTAACTCCCACAGCAGCAGCGTCTACGCCGGCGCCCAGCTACTCGCCGGGCAGCCAAAATCGCGGTAAGTTGTTGTCGTTGTTGTTACTAGACACAAACCAAAATAAAACAAAAATAAAAAATGAATTAAAACAAAAAAAAAAAAAAAATGTAAAAAGTAATAAAACCGAAACAAGTGAAAATCAACAACTCATTTGATCTGGCAACGCTGCTGTGGTAGCTCTACCGGTTCCGGTACCGGTTCCAGTTCCAGTTCCAATCCACGTTTCGTTTATCGTTTGCTTTTAAAACATAAATTCGGCTGCGTTTGTGCGAAACTTCTTGTTGCATTGAGTTTTAAGACTACAAATTGGCAAAAAAAAATAAAACTACACCCAGCGAGAGAGAGAGCGTGTGAGAGAGAGAGAGAGAGCGAGAGAGTACTAAGATCACACACACACACACACACCTTAAGCACTTTCTGATGAAGCTGACAAAAAGTGCTCAGCAAATATTTAAAACAGTCTCTTCATAAATATGTCAACTTTTGTTGTTGTTTCCATTATTATTATTGTTATTATTACTATTATGATTGCTATCATTGTTATTATTATTTGCACATTTAGGCCACCCCCCCCCCCCCCCTCCCCCTACCAATCGCCGCCCCTGCACACGCACAGCCCAAAAGACATTAAGCGATTTTGTCGTGTTCTTTGGGCTCTGCTCGAGCTGGAGTCGGGGGGGGCAGGGCAGGGCTGTGGGCGTGGCGCGGTAAGCGGCTCTCCTGCTGAGACAAGGCAACTAATGGCTTGTAAAACCTCTTTATGAAAACCGCACACACACACACTCACACACCCACACACGCACACATGCGTCAGCTTAGAGATGACATAACGAGTTTGAAATTTAGCCTAAAACAAGGCCCAACATAATTATGAAAACAATTTAAAAGAGAAATGTCACAAGCATTAAATACAAATTATTTAAAATATAAATATTGATTTGATAAAGTTATACAATTTTTATCTTAAAAAATAGGTAAAAAAAAATAAAAAACAACACATTAACCAGAACTCCTTAAGCAGAAAACAATTTAATGCACGTACAGTTTTTCAATATTTTCAATTCTTTCGAAAAGAAGAGAGTTCTATATTTTTCTTCCAAAAGTATGCGAGTATGATAAAAATAAGTTTGCTGAAACTTTGCGTTTTCTTAGCTGATATTAAAAAGAAGAAACCAATAACCTCCTTTTATCCAATTTTAACTGGTTCAGGGTATAAAAACAAACATACATTTTGAACATTATTTATAATTGAATAGCAATAATTTTTTGTTCCTATTTATTTTTTGTTTATATTTAATTTTTTTCTTTTAATTTATTTTTTTATTGCTGACTTATATTCAATTAATTCAATTTCAATAAAATGTGTCTAACACAAGTATTGGTTAAACGTTTTACTGTAAATACCATGCAAAAGTCGTAAGTTAATATGACAACTCTGGCAGCTCAAGTCATTTTATTTAACTGCATGTTAATTTTGAACATTCGAGAGATAGGAACTGAGAAGACAATGCAAATAATGATTCGAATCAAAATACAAAAACAGCAGCTGTGAATTTGCAACAAATGCAATTTGTAGCACATTAAGCATTAGATTATCGTTTATCGATAATTGTGCAACATATTTGACATTTGTTATCGTTTATCGATAATTGCATTATATTTGTTATTTTGTTTATCGTTTATCGATAATTGTGCATTTTGTATCACATTTGACACTTTAGTTATCGTTTATCGATAACTTTGCACCAATATAAACAATATATATAATTTAAAAGTAGTGCAACCTTTTATGAATTGGTATTGCGTTTAACACGAAGCGCAGTCACGACACGCGTTCAGCTCTAGACACACACGCACACACACGCACACACTCAGACACACACCCACACATAGGCACACAAACACACAGAAATTACAGTTAGTTGAGTGCCTCTTTTGGTTTTAGCCTTTTCACTAATTTCAGCGCATTGTACAATTTATAAAATTGAGCTTGTTGTCAAAAACTGAGCAGACACACGCACGCACACACAAGCACACACACACACCTACACACAGACAGGGGGTGTGTGTGATTAGATATAAGGGGTAAATATGAGGCACGTTTTGGCAACCGCTTTTGCATATTTATTTTGTCATTATGTTCTGGCATTAATATGCTGTGAGCTCAAAGCCCAAAGCCAGGGCACAAGTTGAAGTGCTTTTAAGCCAAACACAACAACAATACACACGCGCGCACACACACACACACAGGCGCATATTTTCACTATGGTATTCATATAATTTGAATGACTTTTTAAATAGTTGCCAGAGACTTTGCGGATACAAGATACAAACTATGAGATACAAGATACAAGGCACGTAATAAGTCATTAGCGTGTTGCTGTTGTTGTTGTCAGCCTTTTAGCCAGCCAGCTAATGTGGCTTATTAGGCTTAACCTTATGCTGAGCGGGTGTGCGTGCGTGTGAGTGTGTGTGTGTGTTGTAGTTCTTTTTGCGACTGCAGCAAGTGCAGGCAACACCGTTTGCTTTATTTTAATTAAATTCTAATTAGAGTCGAGTCGAGTTTTAGCTTGCAGTTTGACATTTTGAACGGCCACGTAATAGACACACACACGCACACACGCACACACACACATGTGCACAAATATTTCGAAAAATATTTCATTAAGCCCCTGCCGCCGCTGCTGCTGCTGCTGCTGCCGCTGCTGCTGTTGCTGTCTGTTACAGCAGCAACATGCGCGCTGTGTGTGCGTGTGTGCGGCATGTTGTGCTCGTGTGTGTGTGCTGTCTGTTGTTTGTGACGTTATCTTTGAGAATTTGTGCTTAGAAGGCCAAGTTTAGACGTGGTCTGGCTGATTTTTGGGCTGCCGTTTTTTATGCTGCTGTCGCACCACCAACTGCTGTCATGTGTGTGCGAGCGTGTGTGTGTGTGCTTTTTAAAGTAAATAATGCAAAGCTGTTTTCCATCAAATTTTAATTAATTATTTAGGCAAAAGAATGCGTTACGCTTCGTAGTTGTTGCCGCTTGTCTTTTTTTACCCATTTACTTGTTGTTGTTGTTGTTGTTGTTGCTGCTGCCATGTTTATTGGCGCCGTGTGCGTTGTCAGCTGTAAATTTTGTTAGAATATTTTTTGCTTCTGCCTGCCAGGCACATGTCAAGTTGTGCCCCCAAACCTCATGCCTACATCTTGACGCATTCACATAATTAATTAGAAAACCTGTTTGGCTCTCAACCGAACCCTCAACCCTTTCACAATTTTGCCTAGGCATATGTCTGTGTCTGTGTGTGCCTGTGTGTGTGTGTGTGTGTGTGTGTGTGTGTGTGTGTGTGTGTGTGTGTGTGTGTGTGTGTGTGTGTGTGTGTGTGTGTCTAGTTGTTGCCTTGATTTGATTTCATTTTGTTACTTGGTTACTTGTAGATGGCGCCAAATGCCCAACTCCTCATTGCACTGGCCACGGACATGTCACGGGATTATATTCGCATCATCGAAGGTACAACACACAACGCACACTCACACACACACACACTCTCACAACCATGCTAAAACTGTACACTGTTGCTGTACTTTTTCTTTCATTACCACCCAATACACGCTTCTCTTGGCTTGGCCATAGTTTGTCGGGTTGTCCGAAACGCGATAAGGTCACCACGGAACGTAAGTGCCCAAAAGTTTCGTATTTTGTAGCACATATGTAGATCACTCTCTGTCTCTCTCTCTCTATATATATATCCCTCTCTTACTCTCTTATACTCTCTCTCAATCTCTCTCCCTCACTTCCTTACCTCTCTCTCTCTCTCTCTCTCTCTCTCTCTGATCTATCTCTCATAACCTTTCTAAATGCTCGCATTTTCCCTATCTTTCAAGTAAATAGCATGTTGTATTCTATTTATGTGTATGTATTCGTGTGTGTGCGTGTGTATGTGTGTGTGTGTTTGCTTGGGGTGTATATTTGAGCCGATATCACGACTCTCACTCTCTCCTTGTTACTCTCTCCCACTTTGATCTGCATGCGACTTCACAAGATCGAAGCTTGTCCCAAAAGAAGCTGTCTCTATTTTTACTGTCTGCTTTCTAGTGTTGAAAAACTCCCGTTTGTTCTATCGTTAATTATCGATAGTTCGACTTATCGTTAGCTATTAGCTAAGCATTTGGCTCTATCTCCTGTCACTCTCTCTTTCTCTCTCTTTCTCTCCTCTCTATATATCATCTTCTTCTTCCCCTTCTATGCTCGCTCGAAGTTGAGCTTGATCTATGCTCTTCTTAAGCTCTATTATTTTATTTACTTCGTCTTCATCATCATTCTAAGCACTCTATTTTACATTACTAATCTATAAACTTAATTATTTTTTATCTCAGTATATTTCTCTTTGACTCTTTCGCTCCTAGCCTTATCTAAGGTTTCTGGAAGATCTCTCTTCTCATTCTTCTTGTTGCCTCTTTTACACTCCAGTCAACTGGCTAAAGCTCTATTTAAGCTCTCTCTCCTTGTCTCTCTTTCTCTGACCAAGCCAAAGCTTAGATTTTTGCTATCTCTGTCTTGCTTGGCTTCTTCTCTAAGCATTCTCTCCAAGCTCTCTCTAAGCTCTATTTATATTCTTCTTTCCTTCACTCTTAAGCTGATTAGGATTTGCTGTAGATTCGAGTTGCCTCGTGTGTTTTGTAGTCCATTGAGCAGCTTGACTTTCACTCTCCCTTTCTCTGTTACTCTATCTTTCTCTCTCCCTCTCTCTCTCTCTCTTTCTCTGCTATGTGATGTGTGTGTGTGCGTTTGTAGTTGTGTGCGTAGTTTAATGGTTGCCTGTCTTAGCGTCTTAGAGCCTTAGCGTCTTACCGCCAATTAACTAATGACACTCAACCCTCACTCGCTCCCCCGCCAATCGGTCATCCGGCCCGACCGGAACGCCCTACTCCTACACCACCACCACGAACCACCAACCAACCAACCAACCAACCAACCAACAACAACAACAACAACAGTGTTGGCCTTGCACGAACAGATACTGAAATGCCCCACGCCCGGATGCAACGGACGGGGCCACGTCCAGCCGCATCGGAGCGTGCACCGCAGCCTCTCCGGCTGCCCGAGAGCGATCCGGCGCTCGGCCAGTCGACGGTCGGGCGCAGCGCGTTATCAGGCGGTGAGCGATAGCCCGATAGCGTTGCCGTTAGCGTTGCCAATACCGATACCGATAGGCAATATCGATAGCGATACCGATACCGATACCACAGCAGGTGCGTTCGATCGCCTGTCTGTTCGAAAATGATAGCATAGAAAAAAATAAAAATAAAATAAAAATATTAATATTAATAATAATTAAAGAAAAGAAAAACCACTTGGAAGCACAAATCGTTAAACAACTTTTCTTGCGCTCTCGTTCTCCCACTCTCTCTCTCTCTCTTTCTCGATCGCCCGCTCTCTCCCTCTCTCGCACTCTCTATCTGTTTCTTTCTCTCTCTCTCTCTATTCTCTCTCTCTCACTGTCTTCTGTCACTCTTGTGCCTGTTTCTCTTGCTCTTGTGCTGGCGCGCAGCTGGCGAACTGGAGAAGCATGAGAAGGAACTGCATCCGCTGGACAAACTCAAGATCACCTCAAGCCACTATCTGAACAACAACAACAGCAGCTGTATCAACAACAATAACAACAACAACAACAATAATAATAATAATAACACCAACAACAACAACAAAACGATGCCCATTATCAAGTCGGAGTACAGTCCGGTGGCCAGCATTAAATCGGAGTACAACAAGAGCCCCATGCACTCATATTTGGCCAACGATGCCGCCTCGGCGGCCAGCAGCGCGATACCCGCTGGCAGCGCGCGCAGCAGCAACAGCAACAACAACAACAACAATGGCGGCGGCAACAATGCAGCCAGCGTGGCGACCAGCAATGGCCCCACCGAGCCGCATCTGAGCCGCTTTGTGGGCATGCAAAGTCCACAGCCTCATCCACACGCCCACCATCAACAGCAGCAGCAGCAGCAGCAACAGCAGCAACAGCAACAGCAGCAACAGCAGCAACATACGATGCATCAGCAGCGCGGACCCTTCATTGAGGGCAATGCCAGCCAGATGATGCCCGCGGGCAATGGCAGTGCCGGCGATGGCAACGATCCAGCCAGCTACCACACGGAGCACCAGCAACAGCAGCAGCAGCAGCAGCAACAGGCGGACGAACGCCAGCAGCAATACGAGCAGATGCGCTACGCTCAGAGCCATGGACATGGCCTGGCGGCCAGCGATGCTGCAGCCGAACAACAGCAGCAGCAACAGTTGCTGGTAAGCAATCCTAGCAGCAGCGAATTGTCGCCGGTTACAGCGCGCAGCGCCTACGAGCATCCGCATCCGCATCCACACACGCATCCGCATCCGCCCGCAACGCTCGGTACGCCCGTTTTCGCTGTGGGCGTGGGCGTAGGCATTGGCGTCGGCGATACGATAACAGCCAGCACGGCGGGCTTCGAGCGCTACGATCCCAATTGCTGTCCCAGCGGCGGCGGGCAGCGTCAGGCGGTGGCAGCGGCAGCTGCGCCCGCCAATATGTACCACTATCTGCCGCAGAGTGCGGACGATTTGCAGGCACAGCAGCAGAAGTATCTGCAGGAGCAACAGCTGCTGATGGCCAAGGCCGAGCACGAGGAGCTGGCCAATGGCGGTGGTCCCATCTATCCGCGGCCCATGTATCATTATGATCCGACCATGGGGCCGCTGCCGCCGGGCTTTTCCGCCATCAATTTGTCCGTGAAAATGGCTGCAGCCCAGGCTGCAGCAGCAGCGGCTGCGTATCAGAACCAGCAACAGCAGCAGCAGCAGCAACAGCAGCAGCAGCAGCAACAACATCACCAGCAACAACAGCAGCAACAGCAGCAGCAGCAGCAACAACAGCAGCAGCAGCAACAGCAGCAGCAACAGCAGCAGCAGCAGCACACCAAGCAGAGCAGCTCGCCAACGCCAAATGTGGGCGTGGCAGCGCCAGCTGTTGACCTATCGGGCGCCACATCGGTGACGTCATCCAGCCCGCACGGTTTCAACTCGCCAGCCTCGCACAACCAATACAACCAGCGCATGGGCAACGGCAGCCCACAGCCGGGCGCCAGCCCCAACATAGCCAGCCCCCAAGTGCCGAGTCCGCAGGGCCAAACGCTGGACCTGAGCGTCACACGTTTACCGCACAGGTAAGACCCAAAATAAACCCCCCCCCCCCCCCTTCCCGACTAACGAAAATCACAAAAAGCAACGATCACAATCCAAGCCCAACACTGCCCAGCCTCAAAGTTGTCAAAAAGAATTTAGGTATATTTTGTTGCAGTTTAGTTCATTTGCTTTCCTTAAATTTAATTACTTTTTAATTACTTTGAATTACTTTTATACCTATTTAGATTTAAGGCCAAATATTACACTATTAGTTTTTACTTCATTTACACACATTTGCATCAAAGAGAAATATAACATGCTTGAGAAATATAACATAGAGAATATCCTTCCGACCTCAAGGAACTCAGAGACTAGAAGAGCTAAGCGCAAGAAATTTGGTATATGCCTTCTGAGACTCCTTATATAGCTTTACTTAAATAAAAAATGGGAATAGAACAGCGCAAACTTATTATCAAAGAGAAAGAGCTCAGATATAGGGAACATAATTCTAGAAATAAAGAACTATATGACCAGTTGCATGATTTTGATTTTAGGTTTTTATATCTGTATATTGTCAAACGGAACTCGAAAATTATAAGCACTAGAGCAACAGAAAATGATATAAGAGTTTTTATGAACTCTTTCTTATCACTTGGAATGTTATCATAGAGATGTTTCTTAGACATAGTCGTAGAGCTCAAGTAGTAAGCTCTCTTATTTCAAGTGCAAAGTATTAGACACTTTTTTTTTAGAGGAACCGACTCCCTACTGAGCCCATTGAACTCAGAGATCTTAAGAGCTAGCGTGATGGAATTTGGTATGTGGGCTCTCCTAAATGTTTAAGTGCAACACACAAATGCTCAACTTTGAGAGAAACCAAGGCAAATTAATTATAATCAATATAGAGCCTAGATATATGACTTGGTATATGAGTGCCAGTTGGCAATGCAACTAACAGCTTGATTTCTTCTGCTCATCTATTTGTTTTGCTTGACTAAGTGGCATCCACTTTTCGCATTTATTTGACAGCATCATCACGAGCCCGCAGTACGGCGCCGACGGCCTTGTCGTGGGCCACGGTCAGGGCTTTGGCAGCGCAGCGCCCGGCTCAATTGGACCGAACGGACCGCCGCGTTCACCACAAATGGAGCCAGTCGACTTTAGCGGACCGCCGCGGCCCCTCGGCTTTGGCCTGGTCGGTCACATTAGCGGGCCGCGGCCATATAGTCGCGAATCCACGCCGGACAGCGGGGGCTCGCACTACATAGAAACCTATCGAGATCCGAGCGGTGGGTATTCATTAGATCCAAATCTCTAAGCAATTCAACTTGAATGGTGCCCCTTTCTGCTCTGAATTGCAGGCTATTCGCCGCATCCTGGCTACGGCATGGTAGTTCAATCAGACTATCCACCAGCTGGCTACCATGGCTATGGCCCCGCCGCCTATCAATGCAGCAATCCGTACGCAACGGCCGTCGGTCCGGGCGGCTATCCAACGCCCGTATCCGGCGGCTATTCGCCCAGTCCGGCCACCTGCTACTCGATGCCACCGCCGCAGCATATACCGCAGCATGACAAGTCCAAAGATGGGTGAGTACGCAGGTTTCGAGGGTGTAAGTGTGTGTGTGTGTGTGTGTAGGTGGGGGGAGGAGGACTTCACTTGCCTAATGTAAAATGCAATTATCATTGAGGACACGTTGAGAAGAGCCGCTGACAAGTGCTCTGGCGGACAGGATGCGGCCGTCATCCATCTAACAAGCCATTCAGCTGCTCATCACTCACAGTCACTGTCACTGTCACAGTGACTGTCACAGTTGCAGTCACTGTCCGGCACGTGGCACAGTGGTTACAGCTAATGCTAAATGCCATTGCTTAAAGCCAAAAATATTTCATAAATTATAAATATAACAATTTCGAGCCCAGGTTCCCTGCGTCTAAATTCTGTTTAGTTCAATTCAATTAGCTATAAACTATTCATATTAAATCCAGCATAAAATTTAGCCTTGTCAAGTCTTGCTGAACCTCATTGAACTCAGGGTCTACATGAGCGGGCCACCTTAAATTTGATATGTGGCTAGTCGTAGACCCAATTTACTTAAAATTTAAATATGAACATATCAAGCCAATCCCGGCGCAGTGTGCACGACTAGCTATAATATTTATGTGGACGCAGCGCGCTCATAAAAGCCGCCCAGGCCGGCGAGCCGCACCCTCAAACTGTGCCACAAACTAGCTAGGCCTCATTTACCAGCCTCCCATCCCTCCGGCCCCAGGCCGTCTTTAAAGCCAGGCAAATTTGGTAAAACTTTAAAAGGCAACGTAAAGTTTTTGAAGTCCTATTTTTGCCAGATGTGTGAAACAATGCTGAGCCGAGTCGAGTCTTATCTGACGGCGGCCACTTGGCCACGTACTCAAGTGTGTTAGCCAGTCCTTAATCCACACTAATGTGATGTACCTTCTCGCTCGCCCCCGCCATCCGTCTCTATCTGTCTCTCCACTTAGCTTGACGGGCTGCTCGCGCTCTGACCGCAACCATCTGCAGTCGCACTCACAGGAGCTGAAGTGCCCGACGCCCGGCTGCGATGGCTCCGGCCATGTGACTGGCAACTACTCATCGCATCGCAGCCTCTCCGGCTGTCCGCGCGCCAACAAACCGAAGAGCAAGCCACGCGATGGCCAGGACTCTGAGCCGCTGCGCTGTCCCATACCCGGCTGCGATGGATCTGGCCACTCTACTGGCAAATTCCTGTCACACAGAAGGTGAGCAATTGGCCAAGCTGACCAAACTGTCATCTTCAATTTGTGCTTATTTCTTATGTTTTTTCTTCCGTCTTCTTCCTTTTCTTGTTATTTTTTTATTTGGCTGCAGTGCATCGGGCTGTCCCATTGCCAATCGCAACAAGATGCGCGTACTGGAGGCCGGCGGCACCGTGGAACAGCACAAGGCCGCTGTGGCCGCTGCCACGGCCATGAAATTTGATGGTGAGTTGCAGCTTACTACACCTCGACATGACAAAATCATAACTACTCATAACCACTAATCTGTGTCACTTGACAATACTCAAAACTACTCAACACCAATTTCAATTGAGCGTAAACTAGTAAGAAACAATTAATTAATGCAAAATAGTTTCTTATGTCGATATTCAGAGAAGCTTAATAGTATATATATAGTAGTATATACTCTTTTCACTATAAAAACAAAATTAGGAGCTTCCACAAAAAAATACTACTCAAAAGTACTCGTTCAATTAGGAGTTGATCAAAAATATACTACTCAAAGCTATCAGTAGTTAAATATATTATTTTAACTCTGTGAACGTTTATGAAAATGAAATTCGGGTTTTTACAAAAAAATATACTACTCAATTGTACTCCTTCAATTAGTAGTTGTTCAAAAAACTACTACTCAACGCTACTCAAAGCTTCGACCAATATACTCTTTTCACTTTTTCACTTATAACAATGAAATTAGGAATTTATAAAAAAAATTCTACTCAATAATACTCGTTCAATGTGGAGTTGGTAAAAAATACTACTCAATAGTACTCAACTAAAACAAAAATACTCATTCAACATTGCTTATATTATTCTTAACGCTAACGCACTCTTTTCCCTTTTTTCTCTCTGTCTCTCTCTCTTTTTTTTCGCTCTCTTTTGTAGCCTGCACCACAGTTGGCAGTCAGGGCATCAAGAAACCGAAGTTCGATGAGGTTACCATGGTATATCCCAAGGGCTATACAGGTGAGTGTGAGTGAGAAACTAGCTCACTATATCTCTCTCTCTCTTTCTCTGTTACTTTCTCTCTATCTGTTTCACTATCTTTCTCTGTTGCCTACTCTTATGCTCTATTGAGCACTTTTTGTTTACACAAATCTCTTGCGTGTTTTCTGTTATGAACTGGGCTTATTGTTATTATGCCCCGCAATTGTTGGGGCATCATAACATTGTCATAAAGTTGGCAACACAAACAGAAGAAATCAGCACAAATGTCATTGTAAATCTGCGAATATCAGTGCAAGAATAGCAGCAGAATAGTCACATTCCACTGGTCATCATTCAAGTCATTTCAAATGTTGTTTATGTTTTTAGTTTGGTTAGCAAAGATGAGACCTGGCAATTATCTATAAATTTGTGGTATTTTTCATATGATTTTTATTTTAAATACCAAAAAAAAAAAAAAATGTTAAGTATTTTTTAGCAAGTCAACATTTTGCAGCTTCATTCATGAGCCAGTGGAATTCGGCTGTTTTCATTGACATTTGTGGATGACTTTTCGGGTCTGCATTTGTTGTTGCTCTCTTTGCTCTCTCGTATTGTACATTTTCGGTTGGAATTTTGTGTGCGTGTGCTAACGTCTAACAAAACAATAAAATACTTTCCGTTTTGGCTTTGCTTATGGTTTCGGTTTTTCGGAATATGCCAGGCTAAATACCAAAGAAAAAAAAAAAAAAAAAAAAACATTACAAAAAAAAATACCAAAAAATAAGCGTGCATTTGTTATATTCTGCAATAAGCCTAAACGTACCAAAATATACCAAAATTGACCTTACGACAGACGACAGGGCCACGAGAATTAAGAGTTCCGGGCCAAAAAAATAAAAAGAAGAAAATACCAAAAAAAAAATAAATTAAAACCCGGTGCATAACATAAATCCGATGCCCGATACAACATAATACTCGATATATAAAAACACGATATATACATATACCACGTTTAAATTCTAATTTAATTCCGCTTACCTTCTTTTTCGTTTCGTTTCATGGTTTTTCGTTGGCGTTGTTTTCTTTTAGATTACGCGACGTTTTGTATCGGTGCTGAGTATCTACTGTAAATAGACAAAAGAAAATATACTGAAAATAGACCACAGACAAGCAGAAAGCAAAATACCAGAAAATATATATACCTGTATGTATATACATATATATATCAAATACTTGAGCCTTTAAAAAAAAATACCAACAAAAAATACAATAATAGTGATCTAACAAAAACAACAAGAACAAAAAATACCAACAACAAGTCACACAAGCAAATGAATTTAACTAACAAGCAAATTGCAAAAGAATCGAACCAAGGTAAGCCGTGATATTTGCTATCTCACACACACACTCTCTCACACACACACACACACACACACACACAGACACACACGCACACACACAACCGTCATGTCACGTCACTTCACACTCACATAGAAGCTCCAATTGAGTTGCTAGCACACGCGCACATAGACAACCGTGGAGAGCTTTTGTTAAGCATTGAACAAAAACATAAAAATAAAGAAAATCAAAATGAATTGCAATTAAATCAAAATGAGCTAGTTCCACGTCAAAGAGAACAACGAACAAGTTTTGCATACGTGACAAACTGTAGAGAGCGCCCGCCACTAACGACTCTCTTCCACCTCTTCTTTACCCTCTGCTCTGCATTTCTTCTCTTTCTGCACTAGGCGGCAGCGGCCTGGACATTGTCATGAGCGGTGTCGGCGTCGGCGTCGGCGTCGGCGTTGGCGTACCCTTGCCGCCTGGCATTAACAGCAGCAGCAACAGCAACAATAACAACGGCGGCGGCAGCAGCAGCGTTGGCGTTAACAGCGACAAATCAGCGAGCGGCAGTGTAAATGTGACCGGCGGCAGCGATGATCTAAATACACTGGAGGCGGAAATATCGGAGCTGCAGCGAGAAAATGCGCGCGTCGAGTCGCAAATGATGCGACTCAAATCGGACATAAATGCAATGGAATCGCAGCTGAGCACCAGCGATCGGGTACGTAGGCTCAGGTTCGTTGATCGCAACAAATTTTGAGTATTTTCTATTAGCTACATATATGCATAACACGCTAATACTAACAGCAACAGCAACAGTAACAGTAACATTAACAGCGGCAACTAACAGTAACCGCAACAGCAGCAGACATAACCTCAAATAAGTAGGCCAATTATCTTCTATATATACATATAAAGATATATATATATATATATAAATGTTTGTTGTTGTTTTGAACAGCTGCTGGTCATGCGCGATTGCGCAGCGAAAGTTGCGACTTTGTCTGCAAGTTTTTGGCACCTGAGCCGCTTTCTAAGTTGTGGCCACTTTTCAAGGACGTCTCTAAACTCCAAAAACCAAAAGCAATAATAAAGCGAGTGTTAAACGCTGGCAACAAAAACAAAAAAAACAAAAAAAAATGAAAAAATTATAAGAAAAGTAAAATAAAAGAAAACAACAACAATATTGTGAAAACTCGGCGCAAAAGTCGGCAACAAAAGTTTTACCAGCCGCCGCCGATGTCGACGTCGACGTCGACGTTGTCGCGTTAACTTTCATTCTTGGCAAATGTACTTTTTAACCCAAAACATGGCCAAAGAAACTTGGGCGACGTCTGCACAACGCCGGCCCCCGCCTTGTTGGCCAAAAACTTTTATTATATTTAAATTATCGCGCCTGGTTCTTCTGCCTTTGCACAAAAAGCAAAGTTATTGTTTACCGCTTTTCATTTTTATATTCTTTGAATTTTTTTTTTGGAGTCAACTAACTCCTGTTTTCACTTGGAAATTAAGCACATTTTTTCGATGTTTTGGCATGTTTTCTGCTTCGTTACATTTTGCATTTGCATTGCATTGTGCAGCCGGCCAATGATCGAGTGCAGCGCCCTCTGTTTTTTGTCATTGCAGGCCATTTTCAAAATGGCGTCACAGCAGCCAATCGGCTTCAGGCCTGCAGCTGCAGCCGTTTGCGACTGCATCGAGCAACGAATCAGCGCACAGCAGCAGCAACAGCCAGGCCACCCCTAAACGAGCGTTTTGCCAGGGAGTTAGCTAGCCCCCTCTACGCATGCCGTGTCCCTAAGCACACACACACGCACACATGTGTATGTGTGGTCATGCGCAGGCAGCTGCAGCTATAGGTGTGGGTGTTGCTCCCCCCCCCCCCCCTTCCCCATGGCAAGCACCAGTCAATTCTCGGTCTCTGGGTATCCATCCGTCTGGCCGCTGTCAGTCGCAGTCGGCACCAAAACGATGTCAGGCAGCAAATCGCAGAGCGCCATTCGATTTGCCTTTGCTCCTAAAAGCTAGCAACCCCGCTGCAAACTGTGCTACAACGCCAGCGCCAGCGTCAGCGCCAGCAGCGACGCTGACTGCGTAACCTCTGTGGCCTCGGCATGAGCTCGTTTCAGCTCCTATGAGAGAACAACAACAACAACAACAACAAAATTGATGTGAAAAGCAACAGAAAAAAAAGGGCGCTTAACGTGCAGCCCGACACTTTGGGGAGGCAGAGGACGCAGCAGCAGCAGCAGCAGCAGAAGCAGAAGCAGCGACAGCTTAAGCAGCAGTTGGCTGCCTCGCTGGCTCCCACACTCTTTCTCTTTCTCTGTCTCGCTCTCTCGCTCGCTCTAGCTCTTGCTCACACTCACGCTCGGACGACGTCGGTGCGCCGTGTGTTCGTGTGCATTCGGCGTGCGTTCGTGTTTGTGTCTGTTTATTTCATTTCTTTTGTGTGTTTGCCTGTGTTTTGTTGTTGTTGCTGAACCGTTTTCGGTTTTCGTTTTTTTTTTCTTTCATTTTTTTTTTTCGTTTTGCTGCTGGCCGCGCGTTCTTATTGGAATTTCAATTTGGGCGCGCGCACATACATGCATGCACATACATGTGTACATGTGTGTGAGTGTGTGTGTGTGTGTGTGTATTATATATAGCAACAGCAAATGGCGCCTGAGCACCTCAGCAAATTGAATTTGAGCAATTGGCAATGGCAAAACGAATCAATGAATCATTGAATCAAATTGCGGTACACATACTTTTGACACACACACGAAAACACACACACACACACACACACAGACTCAAGCAATGCGACAGCCAATGACTAAACACTAATGCAAATTCATTGCGTTTCTCTCTCTCCCTCTCTCTCTCTCTCTCTCTCTCTCTCTCTCTCTCTTTCGCTCTCCGTCACACTCACAGGAGGCTTCTCCACTGAGCGCACATCAGCAACAACAGCAGCAGCAACAACAGCAGCAGCAACAGCAGCAGCAACAACAACAACAACAACGACCCACTGCATCATCGCTGGCCTCGCCCAGCGGCCAGTCGCCGTTTGCCGGCGTCTCATCCACCACCAGCAGCAGCGGCGTCGATCTTCTGCCGAGCAGCGGCCACATGTCCCATGTGACAGACGGCAGCGGCGGACCGCCCAATGCCAATCTGAACAACTACTATGAGAGTTTGCGCAACAACGTCATCACGCTGCTGGAGCATGTGCGTCTGCCACCGCCGCCGCCGCCACCGTTGCCGCCAACGGCAGCGGTGCCGGGCACTGCTGGCCTCCAGACCGGCATGGATAATGGCTGTGCCGCTGGCGTTCAGCTGGGCGGCGGTGAGCATCATACGGCAGCGGCTGCTGCATATTCTACACTGTTGCCGCCACCACCGCCGCCGCCACCGCCGCCGGCGACGTCGAGCACCGCAGCCGGGACACCGATGTACCATGGCCATCAGGGCAGTTTGGGTGGTGGGGTCACAGCCGGTGCGCCGCCACCGCCGCCGCCGCCGCATGCGCCACATCACGCCTATACGGTTCATCATCCGGGCGGCTATCCGCATGGGCATCCGCATGCGCATCCGCACGAGCATTTCGACTCGTACATCTCGAAGCTGCAGTCGCTGTGCGTGCCGCCCGATGTGTACGCCCTGCCCGATGATGGCGGCCGGCCCGTCTACAACTCGGTCAAGCCGACCATGCACCAGGACTATGGCAAGCTAATGCCCACGCCCATTTAAGGCGCCGCCGTCCCTGGTTAGTATATATATGTGTGTGTGTACATAGGCGCTTATCATGAGTATGAATCATCAATGAATGATGTTATCGGTGAAATTCAAGTAATTAGCGAGTCATGGACTATAATGCATGCAACGAATCATTGCAGTTGAGTTATGAATCATCATTTAGAAGATATAAGTTATGACTCATTAGCTTTGCATTTTACTATGCGAGTTATGATTCATAAGCAATGATTTGGGACTTGTGAAATATAGATCATGGATCACTGTGAATGAATGGAATTTGAATCATCGATTATAAATCATATGATCATGAATTATGATTTAGAGTCATTCAATATGAATCGTTAGTACCAATTCAGCAGTTTTGAGCGATGAATCATAAATTTGAAATCACGATTTATTGCTTAAGAGATATGAGATATGATATAGATCATGAGTTATGGGTTACGGATCGTAAAAGTGGAAATGACATGCATCCTAAATTGATGTATAGATCAAAGTTAAACAATCTAAAGTTTTGATCCATGAGTCATTAAGTGTATTAAGTATCATGATTACGAATATATGACTTATGAGTTATGAATCTCGACACATATATGATCAGTTATGAATATTGAAAAGTGATGTATCATGAATCATGAGTTATAAGTAACGAATCATGATTGCCGAGGCATAACTAAAGAAAACTATGCCTTAGGAATCATGTTGTGTGAGTTATCAGCCAAGAATCATAATTCAAAACTTCCGAATCATAGCCTATGAATCATAATGAGTTACCTCTCAAAAATCCAATTAAATATATTTTAATACTGATGTTCAGTTATGCTCCTGACTTAGCTGTTGTTAATTGATTCGAGTCGAGTCAATTGAAACTCAACTGCATCGAAACTTTTTGGTTTTCTTAAACCCAACACATTCTTGTGCAATGAGAATGCCGTATGAGATCGTATATAAGGTAAATTATATAAATAGATACACAGATATGTTGAAAATGTCAAGAACATGATGTCCTTAGCGTAGATTGAGCTGTTTCACGTTTAGGTCCTAGGCGCTTGTCCTGTTGATAAATTGTATAAATTATACTAGCATAAAAATAAAATAATTAAAACTACAACTAACTAAATGTGCGCTTTTAGTTGTATTTGTTTTTTTTTTTTTTAGTAACTGTATCTGTATCTGTATTTAATACTAACTAGCAGTTAAATATGATGGTAGGAAATTTGTTTGGTGTTGATGTCTGGTCAATTTTGTTTGCAACTTGATTTGCAACTTGAACAAGAACAAGAAAAATACGAATGAAAAACATAAAAATATTAAAAAAAAAAAAAAAACCAACTAAGTAACATACTTGAGCATAAGTATAATAGTTAGTGGTACGAAAAGTTTTAACACCAAACGGAGATAAATATGCAAATATAATCAACAGTAAACTATAGAGAGAAAAGCAAAACCAAAAAAAAAACCGTTTTTTTTTTGTAATCTTAAATTCTAGAACGTAATCCATGGGCTAAACGCGGCCCATTTCAGTATATAATATACTCAACTATAAATACTAAGTATGCAAGAAGAAGAAGAAGACAACACACAGACACACACACACACACGCACTACAAGAAACACCCACACATACAAACGAACACTTCCACACCTAGTATATATATACATATATATATATATATATATATATATGTGTATATTTATATACTTTCATATATACATATATTTAGGTTCGTAAGTTTTAATGTTAAAAAAATTATTAAACTGTACTCGATATCAAACAGAAATGGGCGCAAAATGCAACAACTAAGCAAAATATATTAAAAATTTAGTTAAAAAAAAAAAAAAACAGGAAGAACATAAATATAAATATACTAAACAAAGAAAAAGAAGTTCAGTGCAATACATTTAATAAAATGAAATGTTAAAATTAAGTAAAAGTAGTTGACTTTTTTTTTGTATTGTATTACGTACTTATAAATATGTATAACTAAATATAAACAATAAACAAATAAATATTAAAAAAAAAAATACCAAAAATACCAACAACAAAAAACCGCAAGGAAATTTAGACGAATTTTAAAACAAAACAAAAATAGCAGGCTTAAAAATCATTGTATTAAAAACAAATAAAATAAAAAAAAAAATAAAAAAAAAAACAGAAAAAAAAACAGAATAACTAAAAACCTATAATTATAAATATACGATTATAAATAAAAGAAAATATTATATAATAATTATACATATATGTAATATGTATTGTATAACAAGAATTCTGTAATTTATAAAATATTTTATGTGATCATTGTCTTTTTTTTTTAAATAATATTACAAGAAATAAATAATTCAAATACAAATAAAGGATATACACAATATCGGCGTTTTATTTATGTGTGGCTAAAATAAGTTCTTTATGATATATGATGTAGATCGTATATTCAAATAGTGAGAAGAGAGTGAAAGACAGATCGACAGAATAAATTCAAACACAGCCTCGGCGCTTAGAGTCCGATCTTTATCAAGTTGGCAGGACTCTGGCAATAATCTAAGGAGAAATCTGGACAGATCTCCAAAAAAGTTAGTTACTTTTAGTCCTAATATACATGTTAGAGATATAGCTCCAATAAATTTTGAGATATGCTCAAAAGATGAGATATGTCTCAAAATCGAGTTATATCGACAACAAAAGCGAACAAAATAAAAAGAGAGAGTCTGCATAAACTATAAGAGATTAAACTCTTATAGGTTTGAGAGTTTGGCTTAAAAACCATGTCTCAAAATTTTTATAAATAAACAAAATAAATGAACAAAACTTAAATAGAGTCAAAAAAATATGAGCATAGAGTTGACTGAGAAAAATACATGTTGCAATGCAAAAAATCGACCCAAATTGGAGGAAAATAGCCTCCAAATGGAAAATCAAGGCATAAAGTAAACCCAGGCTGAGCGCCCGTTCGATTGAGAGCAAGAAATTGAGTTCAAAATGTTGGCTACTTATTAATGCCTGAAAGCCATGACATTGCATTAGCGCAAATCACATAAATCAGGCCCGAAATTCACGCTAATTGCCAATGGACAGCACAAGAAGAAGCAGAAGAAGAAGAAGACGAAGAAGCGAGAGAAGTAGAAGAAGCAGCAGCCTTAAGCGGCAATCAAAAATGAAAACTGAGCCAATGCGCAGAAATTGCGACTACATTTGCATACCCTAAGCCCATTAAATATGTTTAAAAAGGGTATATTGGTGCTGAAAACGTATATGTGACAGGCAGAGGGCTGCATCTGAGACTCCATAAGGTATATACATATATATAAACATGATCAGAGCCAGTTCGTCTGTCCATCTATCTGTCTGTCCAAGGCTCGCAGAGAAAACTTATTAGTTTTTATCGATATCTTCTTCCACAACCATAATATCGATATCAATCGATATCGATTGTAAACCTTGTTTTTTCTTGGCATACCTCGAACATGATCAGAACTAGGTGCCCAAAACTTGGTATGTCGGTGCTTTGTTAGTATACCTAGATTAAAATATTTCACGTTTTTTATACGTCCCGAGAGAGAAATCGAGAGCTGGAACTGGGTAAATGCACACTTTTGGGAGCCATATTTATGCACCGGTAATTTCATAAAGATCGGACTATAAGCACCGAAGTTAATCAGGAAGCATTTCCTATGCTAAGATGTGGGGGTAAGGGAAGCATAGAATGCAGTCAGGTTTCAGGGTATCTGCTAGTCGTGCACTCCCGACTAGAGGCCGCTTGTTATTTTTCTTGGCAACGTTTTTAATTTCAATTAGCACGGCGACAACAAAGCTAGAAGCTGTGCGAGAACTACGGCTTCCAGGGCTGGACAGAAGAGGGGTTGGTCAAGCTAGCGTAAAAAGGGGAGGGGGAAGGGAGGTTTGGTCAACTTGGACAGAGGTAAAAAGGGGCAAATGGTTTTGCGTTAGCTGCAATGCCTTTTGCCTTGGTTAGCAGCCACTTGATTTATGTGGCTTCATTAGACATTCCGCACATAGCCAAAAATCTACGAGTGTGCGAGTGTGTGTGTGTGTGTGTGCGTGTGTGCGTGTGTTTGTTTGTAGAGCAAAATAAGCTAAGTGATTGCCAAAAACTAAATTGCGTACACGAAACGCACACAATTAGAACGGGTTACAGCAGAACGCGTTACTTTGTCATGCCTTTGGGAAAGGGAAAAGGCATGCGCATTGTACGCTAGTTCGCTTTGCTTCGAGTAGTTCTGCTATTGACCAGCATGGAATATTTCTGGTAGCCACCTACATGTTAAACGCTCCACTCAAAGGCCACAAACAACTGCCAATATGTGTGTGTGTGCATGTGTGTGTGTGTGTGTGTGTGGTCCATAAAAAGGTTCGGTGTTTGTTCGTGTGAGCCGCAAAAATATTTGCATAGTTACCTTTAATGTGGTTCGACAGCGCTTTACTCCGTAACCGAAGAGCGAAGAGCACTGTTTAGAGTTGGAAATTAGGGGTAAGGGTTTGGGCTTTTGACTAGAAAAAAGGGGGCTGGGGGGCAGAGCTGGGGACCTGCTGGGTTGGGGAGGGGACCTGCTGGCAATAGACGCCATGCGAAGTTCTTCAACAATATAAACGAACAAAAGTTTTCTTTATGCACACACACAGGCACACACACACACACACACTCACGGCATGTAATTTAAAATGAAAAATTCTATTCTTTTGACACACACACAGACACACACGCACGCACACACACATCGACAAGCATTGATTTCATTTGCATAAATACGAACAAAAAATACATGAAAGCAGGACTTTTCATTAACATGCGAAAGCAGAAATACCCTCGCAGACATATTCCAATTGCCGCCATCATAAGTCACACAAATTGTTTGGCAAGAAAGTAAGGATAGCTACGGCACGCCGAATATTTAATACCCTTGTAGACGATAACCTAACGGAATTTTTAGCTATGAAAAGCTGAGCTCGCTGAGAAAATATGGGAAAACCGAATATTTTGTCATACATAAATTCATTTTTCGACCGATTCTTCCTATAGAGCTATATGATATATGTAGTAGTGAGATCTTGATAAGATTTGGCTCATATATAAGCAACATAGCTTATATAGTAAATGCGTGTTTCGTCGAGATATCTTGATTAACAAAACAGTTTTCCACACAAAAACTTAATATCCAACCAATCGTTCCTATGGCAACATTATGATATATTCGCTATTAATCAGATTAGAGTATAGTGAAACTTATAGATGCCGAGTTTGGTCGAGAGAACTTTAAAAAACAGAAAAGTTTTCCACACGAGAGCCTACTCGTCGACCGATCATTCCTCTGGCTGCTATATGATATAGTGCTCCGATCCGACCAATATATGTATTTACTGCCTGCAACTGAAAGACGGACCCAAGGTTTGAAGACGATAGCTTTAAAACTGAGAGACTAGTTCGCATAGAAACAGACGGACAGACGGACGGACGGGCAG